GGTAAGCCTCATCGTAGAGTTCAATATCATGGACGTGCTCTCCAAAAACGGTTGACGGATCCCTCACGAGCATCCCTTGAAATCCTTCGTTCACCTTAGCCAACTCAAGCACCTCCCTTGGTTCCATTTGCTCCAACACTTCCAACTTCAAATTGAAACACAATTTCTCCATTGGAAATGACTTCAAATTCTTCATTTTGAAAGGCATGACTGGCTTTGACGACATGACCTGCAAAGAGAAGATCAGGTTTTATTTTGACACAAAGAGATGCTTTACGGACAACGTAAATGCTAGGGAAATAGTGAAATTGGCTTTGGATAGCCAGGCCGTAAAGACCTACAAATTGTAAAGCTTGAAAAAGTCAATAAACCAAGAAATCGACAACTGCTCCAAACAGTAACTTCATCATCGAACAATATTTTATAAATTTATTCCAAGCAACAACGATAACGAGAAAAGCTCCCTAAACATAACAAAAAGCTTCTTTTTTTGATTGCACATGTGCTTGGTAAGGAAGGTGTTTTCCTTCCGATTGTTCGCCTCATCTTTTGGCTTGATGGCTTGCTAAAACAAAATATTCAAGGTCTAGCGGAAGAGCTGTTACCTCTCGGACTTTCATAAGTGGGGGAGAATCACGACTTCATTGAAAAGAGTGTGAGAGGCGACTCGGTGATCTTCGATGACTTGGCTGGTAATCAGATGAACGATTCTGGTGATAGCTAAATGAAAAAGTTTGTTCCGTCTACAATACTGGTTCATCTTATTGCAATTACAAAGCATTCATCGCACCTCGTTTGAAAATTCGATCGATCGCGTGGATCCCGTGTATAGTTTGTTCGTCTGCGAGGTTGTTCTGACCATATTGATTGTAGTTGTTGTATTGACTCTTGGTTGTATTGATTCGCTTGCAGAGGACGAGCGTTGAGTAAACGGCGGGTCCCTGGATCACGTTTTCTTCGCCACGAGCTCCGTACGAACATAAATCTTTTGATAAGATAAAGCTTATTCCCCTTAACAAGTTTCTTGTTTGGCCACGGGTCACCCATACGGAAATCGGCCCACTCGTTGAGCATGGCACGAATGACTGGACGTGGTGTTCCCTTGGAGCAGTTGGTGCATTCACAGTTGGGTGGCCCTTCCTTGAGCTCGCGAGCAATGACAAACATCGGCAAGAGATCACCGTCTTGACGTTGAATCCTCTATAAATATAGGGTTAGCAAGAAAAACCGGTACTTTAGTGGTTGGGAGGGGCGCCACTTTTATCCTGGCTTAGTTGAACCTAATGTTTTGAGTGTTTGTATTGATACCTTTCATCTACCTCTTCAATCAAATATGCTTACACTTTTAGAGCATTTACAACATGCTTCAAGTTTCATATTACCGCTTTTATTCGATTTTCAAGTGTAAACAGGTAGCGTTTGGTGGTTAAAGTACATGAGATTAGGCTAGAATTGCCAAAAACTTGCTAAAATCTAATGTTTTGAGTGGCTATAGTGATACCAATCTATTAAGCATATTTGATTACCCTAGAATAGATCAAAGGTATCAATACAACCACTCAAAACATTAGATCCAACTAAGCCAGGATAAAAGTGGTCCTTCCCAACCACCAAAGTACCGAAAAACCTTAAAACAACCAACCTTCTTGTTGATCGAGAACCAAGCAATCTCGGTTTTGTTATCGACATATCCAAGCACGGGTCCTTCGGGCTGTTTGGCCAGAAGATCGGGAACGAGTCGCCACAGCGCACAATCTCACGGTCGGCCAAATCCTTCTCGAGACGATCCGCGTACCTGATCCAATTGTACCAGTAGCCGAGTTTGTTGTGATCGTACTTGTATTGGAAAACTTTAAAAGAAAACTTCGGAACAAAGACAACAAATACATAAAAGATCAAGTACTGCACCTGGATTTGTTCGCGGAGATCCTTGGCACCGGTAAGTTCGTACTCCTTGTATGGGAAAGAGCACTCAACGGCTCCTCCATTATTCCACGGGCGTCCATGGATTGGTTTCGCGTGTTTTTACCACAAAGCGACGTGGTACAAACACGAAAAAGTGAGTTCGTACTCTTTGTATGGAAAAACCACGCGAAAAAAAATAAATATCAATTTTTCTCGACGTTTTTGATCTGTGAAAGCTTGTAATTTTACAATTCAAAACCTTCCAAATCGATAGTTTTATTTCAAATAATCTGACGAGTAAATATCAAATGAGATAGCACAGAGTAAGAGTAAGTATCACAAGTATAGGTATATCACAAGATGAATTGAGGCCTATATGGGGCATAAAAACTCATTTTCTATTTAAAAGCGTGTCCAGAAGACCTGCCTGTAATCATAGTTGAAGAAAACAGTTATGATTTCTCGGAACGGCCGAGAATCTCGGAAATTCGGAATCGGCTCGTAAACTTCATCCGACACGCCAACCACCATCACCGAATTTCCTCCTTGCAGCTCACGAACCTTAAAAAAAAATTATAATAAATTGTTGCATCATTGTACCCTTCCTCTAACAGTTACCTTGAAGCAGTGTCGCATGTGACCGTCTTGATTCATTCCTTCTCCTCGATACTTTGCGTAGGTAGCATTTGTCTGAAGAAACTCGTAGATCATCACTTGCAGCTCGCGTAAAACTAAAAGAAGCCAGATAGAATTTTCAAAATATTCTTGGCTACCCTCAGCTAACTAGTCTAAAGAGCCGACGCCTTAGAAGGGAGTCAGATTTAAAAGGACCGATTTCTGTGTCACATAAAAGATAGGCCATTGCTGCACGAGGCAAAGTTACAGCACCTGGCGGGAATTGTAAATAAACTTTTAATACTATTAAACCAGCTTTTATGTGGATCGAGAAGCCAGTCCTCAAAGTTGCTTCACTTTTCATGCCCCATTATTGGGTTGAAATGTATCCTAATTCCCAATGCTTCAGTTTTCGAACTAAAGTTTCGAACTTTAACAATGGATTTGGGCTTGGTGCAATCCTAAAGTTTCCACAAATCATATACTTCTAGATACACAAATTGATGAGGAATCTGAAAAGAATCTCAATCTCAAATATATTAACTCTCCAAAAAATTATAGCCAAAGCTAGTCACTGGATACCCCTATAAACCCGAGATAACGGAAAAGAGCCAACAATTCTAATAAAGCCAAAGTTTTCCTCAAGTCCAGATACATTTCGGATTGCCCAAATTCTTACCGTATAGGTGAATTTTCGAGGCATCGGCAGGTAGAGCCATTATCAAAGCGCTCCGTTGATTCTGGATCTTGTGGATCTCGTTCTTCATCACGCAACTGTTTGATCGTCCACGAGAAGAGAAGGCGATCTCCAATGGGCTGGAACGGAGACTAATTGAGGAAATTTGTTTTCGTTACCGAAAAAGAACGACACATTGCAGAGAGCAGCTGGTTTAAGCGTGCTTTCTTTTGATGCCACGTTTGGTAGGTTCCGGTGCATTCGAAAACGCCATAATCATCGTAGAGCAAAGGGTCGCATGGTCTAAATGTTGTGATTAGTTAAAAAGCATCGCCAGATTTCGAAGCGTATTGACAAGTACTCAAAGTCTCTAGTTCGTCTCACAAGACAATTTCTTAACAATAGTCCGAGATCGGATTTCCCGGAAGTTGTTATCCAAAAATCGAACCATAACTAGTGAATACTGATCATAGTTTGCCTATTTCGGGCTTACTTAACGTGTCTCGTCGAGTTTCTACAGTTTTGCTACCAATGATACTAGGATACTTGAAGTTTCTAGCGAACCCAGTTCTCGGAAAAAAATAAAAGTCCTAATAAAATAATAAAAGGCAATACTCGACAGCTTCGTCCTCTGATGTGGATGTCTGCTCTTCGCCTTCTTGTGCTTGTTCTTTGGTGACTTCTAATTTTGCTTGAGCCAGCGCTGCTTGAACCTAAAATTCAAATAGATGGCTAAGACGTTCAAACAACGACATACTTTGTCCATTCGAGCTTCATCTTCGACGATTTCTTTAATCGCAACATATCCTCCGGAGCCATAAGCGATTAGCTCGGCACGTAGTCCGTAAGCGATTCTGGCGAGACATTTCGCTGCTACCGCAATCACATTGACGTTCGAATCTTTGTCAAGTAGCTAAAACACAAAGAATTAAGACATTCGCAACAAAAACTACCTTGTTTAGTGTGTTAATCAACTCTCCATAGTTGGCCTTCGGATCGAGCTTCGGATTGTCGGAGATGAGCTTCGCGAGTACCCAAATAAGAAACTTTTTATCTATATATCTTAAAACCTTATTTTTCTAGTTTACTTCTTATTTCTAGTCAGTTTATCTCTAAGTAATGAACACAAAAACTACCTCCAAAGCGTCTTTTCGCTCCTGCCATTTATGGCTGTTCACTCCACCTTCATCGCCGTAAAATGTTGACGGCAAATTTTTGATGAGATCGAACGAGCCAGAATTGTCGGCCATTCTGGAAAAGAACCATTACAAAAGTAAAACATAAAACAAACATAAAAAAAACAAAGAAACATAGAACGAACCAACAAACAGACAAAATCTGTTGGATTAAATGCAAATTTCATCGACTGCAAGTTTGTAGTCGTTCAATTTAGGTAATCCAACACAAAAAATGTAAATATACTGTAACGGTGAAAGGTAAGCTTGATGGTTAAACCAGCAGGGGCAATTAGGACAATAAGAAGTATACAATTACGTCATCGTCAGTAAACTACGCGACACTCCTATAGGGGGTCACTCTATTACAGCACCTACGGCAGGTAACAATAACTATGAAAACCTTTCTTGCGATCCTCTCACACCTACTGCTTTAAATGAGGCGGCAAAAAAACTACGCGTTGATAAACACAAAACATCTCAAAACATGTGCCCGATTCGTTTTGAACTTTACAGCGCCTTGGAAAACGCATTATGTCGGAACTGAACGTAAAGTTATAGCGTAAACTTATTGTTTATGCTTTCAACTTGTAGCTTTAGAATTGGATTTCGATTGCAACGAAGAGTTATTGGCAAGCAAGGAAATGGTTGAGGAGTTGGCACGGCTTAAGGAAGAAAACACTATTTTCATCGTTTTCATCAAGTGCCGTTGAAACTGCTGGATCGATTGGCTCGTCAAGACCGAATTCGCGGGTAGCAGCTTCTACACGAAGCGCGGCAATTTCCGATTGACAATTGATCAAAGTAGCTAAATTGCAAATAATTTTCAAATTTTAGAGACCACAGCAAACCTTGAGGCATAGTGTTTTCTTCCTTAAGCCGTGCCAACTCCTCAACCATTTCCTTGCTTGCCAATAACTCTTCGTTGCAATCGAAATCCAATTCTAAAGCTACAAGTTGAAAGCATAAACAATAAGTTGCACCATCGCCACTTAGTTCGATAAACGCTTCGGACGGAACTTCGACGTCTCCTTCTGCTTCTTCTTCGCTCGTGACTGGGATGTCTGACGTCGCTAGAGGGCTACTAGCTTCTGGATCATCTTCTGCCATCATTTGAGGCAGTATGATGTCATCTCGTCGCAATTGATTCTCAGACTAGGATTCTACAGAAAATCTTCAGTAGGTTAAAAAGTTGAAGCATTTACTCAAAAGCTCTGCTTTCGCAAGCTCGTACACAAGTTTTGTGTTTTCACTGCGCAATTTCTCCAAAGTGCTGACCACCGTCGTGTTGTTGTTGATCAAGGTCTCGTACTAAAAATATGAAGCCTTTAAGAGCCAACTCCCCCTCCAAAACGGTAATTCTAATATTTACGATATATAAATTCAATTAAATCGTCAAACCTTGCGAGCAAACGATCCTCACTTAGAAACGATTTCCACGCTCGGTCAGTAGACAACTCCGCGCTTTCAAGTTGAGAGTGCAATTGGGCAATCTTCTCGTCGCGGTACTTCTCCCTAAACACAGCGTCAACTTTGAACGTTGAAAGCTAAAATTAAACTACCTCAATAACGCCTCCTTGAGGAGCTGATGTATCTGGAAGAGTTGCTGGCCGGTGACAAGCGATCCAACGAAGCTTTGATTGGCGGACGATGGTTCCAAGGTGTTTCTAAAAATGATCAAACGTCGACATCGTATTGCTAACTGTTTACGCTTGGCTTTCCATTTCTTCACCGTTTTCATCAAAAAGTCGAACCATCGCCAAAATGCAGCCATCTGAGACTAAAAAAGAAAATCCAATAATAAAACAAAATGATCTAACTCTTGTTCGTGTTCTCCAAATTTCCACGCCAAACTGAATGATGTCGCCGGTGTTGATCTGTTGCGGCACTGAATCCTCCCCGGTCTGCGCAAGCCTCTCATTGTTCACAAATGTGCCTAAAGTTAAATGTTAGTCAGCAACGAAACATTAAGCTCACTCTTCGACTAACCTCTCCAAACAAATCCTAAACAGAAACACCTTACCATTGCTGCTTTTCGTGTCCTTGATCATAAAAGCGCCGCCAGAGAATCACACGATCGCGTGATTCCTCGACAATACTTTGCAGTCGAAAATGGTGTTCTCCGTCATCGGTTTGAGTCGAGCCACCGAGCGTCCAATCTTCAGCGGATCCTGCGCGTTTCCGACCTGACATCACCGCTCGTCGAATGGATGCGATTGGGCGCACGGGTTGAGAACGATCATCGGACCCTTCATTCTAAATGAAAACAATTAAAGTTGCAAAGGAAAGAGTAAAAAAAATTGAACAACACGTTTTAAAAGCAGAAGAAAAGTTGCGACTTTGCACTTTGGTAGTAGCCTAGTTGAGGGGGGCACTTTTTTTTCTTCAAAACCACTTATGGTACTTGTGCGGTTTGGGGGGCAACTTTTTTTCTTCAAATACGGTTTTTCTGGGGCAATTTTATTTGCGTAGAATTCGAAAAACAACATCGCAAGTTGGGGTTTTGACTTTTATGCGTAGACCAACCCAACCCACTTATTCTGGGGTAGTTTTATGCGTAGATGCCGAAAAACACAACGAGAGCTCGGGTAAAGGCGTTTTAAGCCTAGTTTCGGGGCTCCAAAGTGCGCGCTCATACAGTGTGATGAGGGGGATACACATAGGGAAGAGGTCTAAAAATGGTCTCTCAAAACATTTTTCGAAGCTAAAAACACTTCTTCTGGTATAATTTAACATACTGATTACGTTTCTGATCAAATTGGGGCAAAAATGTTTTTCGGAATCTACGCATAAAACTACCCCAGAAAAAGTGATTTTGAAAAAAAAATCGTGCAAAGAAACTGAGATCTGAACATACCGTTTGTATAGGTAATATCAATAAGCAAGTCTACGCAGGAGGAGAAATGCGAAAAAGGTTTGTGGAGATTCTATACCTCATCAAATCCGTTAAAGATATTCAGTCAACTCATTTCTTACAAAATTCAAACGTTCAACTTTTCGATATCTTTTGTTTGAAGGCTGACTTTCTGCGGCGAGTTTGTTCTTCTTCACTTTTCGTTTTCGTGCCCTTCGGTGCAGCCGTGTTAACTCCGCCCCTTTTTCGGCTCATTTGCCATTGGCAATCTACGAATTTTGCTCGTACCTTGACCGGGTTCGTTTGGAAAACGTTGAATTTGCTTTCATTTGATAGAAAATTTGATTTCGAATCGAATGAAAGCAAATTCAACGTTTCTCGAACGAACCCGGCTAAGGGGCGGGCAAAATACGTAGATTGCGAACCGAAAAAGGGTTGGAGTTAGCATGCCTGGTTTAGGGGTTTTTGTGTCAACTTTTACGCTATAACTTTACGTTCAGTTCCGACATAATGCGTTTTCCAAGGCGCTGTAAAGTTCAAAACGAATCGGGCACATGTTTTGAGATGTTTTGTGTTTATCAACGCGTAGTTTTTTTGCCGCCTCATTTAAAGCAGTAGGTGTGAGAGGATCGCAAGAAAGGTTTTCATAGTTATTGTTACCTGCCGTAGGTGCTGTAATAGAGTGACCCCCTATAGGAGTGTCGCGTAGTTTACTGACGATGACGTAATTGTATACTTCTTATTGTCCTAATTGCCCCTGCTGGTTTAACCATCAAGCTTACCTTTCACCGTTACAGTATATTTACATTTTTTGTGTTGGATTACCTAAATTGAACGACTACAAACTTGCAGTCGATGAAATTTGCATTTAATCCAACAGATTTTGTCTGTTTGTTGGTTCGTTCTATGTTTCTTTGTTTTTTTTATGTTTGTTTTATGTTTTACTTTTGTAATGGTTCTTTTCCAGAATGGCCGACAATTCTGGCTCGTTCGATCTCATCAAAAATTTGCCGTCAACATTTTACGGCGATGAAGGTGGAGTGAACAGCCATAAATGGCAGGAGCGAAAAGACGCTTTGGAGGTAGTTTTTGTGTTCATTACTTAGAGATAAACTGACTAGAAATAAGAAGTAAACTAGAAAAATAAGGTTTTAAGATATATAGATAAAAAGTTTCTTATTTGGGTACTCGCGAAGCTCATCTCCGACAATCCGAAGCTCGATCCGAAGGCCAACTATGGAGAGTTGATTAACACACTAAACAAGGTAGTTTTTGTTGCGAATGTCTTAATTCTTTGTGTTTTAGCTACTTGACAAAGATTCGAACGTCAATGTGATTGCGGTAGCAGCGAAATGTCTCGCCAGAATCGCTTACGGACTACGTGCCGAGCTAATCGCTTATGGCTCCGGAGGATATGTTGCGATTAAAGAAATCGTCGAAGATGAAGCTCGAATGGACAAAGTATGTCGTTGTTTGAACGTCTTAGCCATCTATTTGAATTTTAGGTTCAAGCAGCGCTGGCTCAAGCAAAATTAGAAGTCACCAAAGAACAAGCACAAGAAGGCGAAGAGCAGACATCCACATCAGAGGACGAAGCTGTCGAGTATTGCCTTTTATTATTTTATTAGGACTTTTATTTTTTTCCGAGAACTGGGTTCGCTAGAAACTTCAAGTATCCTAGTATCATTGGTAGCAAAACTGTAGAAACTCGACGAGACACGTTAAGTAAGCCCGAAATAGGCAAACTATGATCAGTATTCACTAGTTATGGTTCGATTTTTGGATAACAACTTCCGGGAAATCCGATCTCGGACTATTGTTAAGAAATTGTCTTGTGAGACGAACTAGAGACTTTGAGTACTTGTCAATACGCTTCGAAATCTGGCGATGCTTTTTAACTAATCACAACATTTAGACCATGCGACCCTTTGCTCTACGATGATTATGGCGTTTTCGAATGCACCGGAACCTACCAAACGTGGCATCAAAAGAAAGCACGCTTAAACCAGCTGCTCTCTGCAATGTGTCGTTCTTTTTCGGTAACGAAAACAAATTTCCTCAATTAGTCTCCGTTCCAGCCCATTGGAGATCGCCTTCTCTTCTCGTGGACGATCAAACAGTTGCGTGATGAAGAACGAGATCCACAAGATCCAGAATCAACGGAGCGCTTTGATAATGGCTCTACCTGCCGATGCCTCGAAAATTCACCTATACGGTAAGAATTTGGGCAATCCGAAATGTATCTGGACTTGAGGAAAACTTTGGCTTTATTAGAATTGTTGGCTCTTTTCCGTTATCTCGGGTTTATAGGGGTATCCAGTGACTAGCTTTGGCTATAATTTTTTGGAGAGTTAATATATTTGAGATTGAGATTCTTTTCAGATTCCTCATCAATTTGTGTATCTAGAAGTATATGATTTGTGGAAACTTTAGGATTGCACCAAGCCCAAATCCATTGTTAAAGTTCGAAACTTTAGTTCGAAAACTGAAGCATTGGGAATTAGGATACATTTCAACCCAATAATGGGGCATGAAAAGTGAAGCAACTTTGAGGACTGGCTTCTCGATCCACATAAAAGCTGGTTTAATAGTATTAAAAGTTTATTTACAATTCCCGCCAGGTGCTGTAACTTTGCCTCGTGCAGCAATGGCCTATCTTTTATGTGACACAGAAATCGGTCCTTTTAAATCTGACTCCCTTCTAAGGCGTCGGCTCTTTAGACTAGTTAGCTGAGGGTAGCCAAGAATATTTTGAAAATTCTATCTGGCTTCTTTTAGTTTTACGCGAGCTGCAAGTGATGATCTACGAGTTTCTTCAGACAAATGCTACCTACGCAAAGTATCGAGGAGAAGGAATGAATCAAGACGGTCACATGCGACACTGCTTCAAGGTAACTGTTAGAGGAAGGGTACAATGATGCAACAATTTATTATAATTTTTTTTTAAGGTTCGTGAGCTGCAAGGAGGAAATTCGGTGATGGTGGTTGGCGTGTCGGATGAAGTTTACGAGCCGATTCCGAATTTCCGAGATTCTCGGCCGTTCCGAGAAATAATTCAATGCACGTCAATTCAAGAATAGGCTTTTTCGATAACTGCAAGCTAAAGTATTACCAGTCAGTTTGATATTTCAATCAGGAATTCTTACCTGTTAGCCATCTCGAAACCATTTCCGGAGCCGCCGATGAAGGCTCTAGCCGGTTGTTGTGAACTTTGATGAACGAGGTTCATCAGTTGAACTCCATGGCAGAGTGGTCTATACGCGTGAGGTCAATATGAGGCTCCAATAGGGGGTTGTTTGTTCGACTTCCCCTGGGAGCGTGAAGGTTTTGTAAAAAATATTTTCTAATAGTTTTAGATACTTTAATGGAGTAGCTACAAAAATGAAGTGTTAGAACTCAAAGAAGTTTTGAAAAACGAGTGTTTTCCAATTTTGTAAAAAAAGCGTTTTGTAAAGGAAATTTTGTGGGTTTTTTTCGTGTCGCTCGTAGGAAAAAACGGCGCTTGGCACACTGCGCCGGAGATGGGGTGGGGACTTAGGTAATTAAGCCGGCTTCAAAAAAAATCATGTTTTTCTAAGGTAACCAATAATTTTTGAAGGCTCAAACCAATTCTGAAGGAAATTCTGTCCCGGGAACATATAGCATACATTTATGGAGAAGTTAACTGCTAGAAATTAGCGTATAAAATAAAAAAATTAAAACTGTGAAAATAAACTATTTGGAATTTGTTGGCCTAAATTTGAAAGCCGGATTCGGGTTCCAGAGTCTTTTAAGCCCTCATATGCAAATTTCTGGGATTTCGTTATGCATCTTGGTCCCTGGTCCAAATCGGACGTTTGGTCCAAAAAGATGCGCGCTCTTCAATGTGTTAAAGGGACAACCATTTATTTACCTATACTTTTAGCGCAAACCCGACTTTTCAAAAAAAATATTTAAATTTTTCAAAAATGTGGGTTCGAGGGTAGAACCATTCCCCGACCTCCAGACGCGATCCAACCACTGTGACGCGCGGGGACTATTGCCTGCTCCCTTTCGGGCCTGAGCCATCTGTCTCTCCTTGTCCGCCCGAGACTGCCGCCCTTCCGGGAAACAGCCTCTAGCGACGTGCCACTTGGTTTGGACGTCCGGTCGTCGGCTGGGGGCCGATCCCGATCAATCCCTCTCCTCCACACCCGCGGTCAAGAAGCTGACTAACAAGCGCCCGCCACGACGCCCCGCGCCCAGGTAGCGAAAAAAAGGGCTTTTAAGGGCTCAGTCTCGATTTTCTTCAGAAGACGTTGCCTTGTCTGATCGATTTACAAGCCGTACGATGAACCAATTGAGATGAAATTTTTTGTGGATGTAGAATTGATGATCTAGTTTCAGAATCTGAAAGCAAATTGGGCAAAATATCACAAGGAAATTCTTATATTGATCTTTTGATCAGAACTTGCCAAAAAGCGAAAAATTTCGAGAATTCAGATGATTTTTCACACGAAATTTTTGAGTACTGATGGAAACTTTGCACGTCAATTCAAGAATAGGCTTTTTCGATAAATTCCTGACTACATAACTCTATTTTGGCATACTGTGGCATTGGGTTCGCGGCTTGTTCTCCTTCGTTTATCCGAACACTTCTTTGTAGACAATGTTGCGCATTTGTTGGTTTGTTGCTTTGATGAGAATTCCTTGTCGGCTTTGAGCACAGAGCGACGTACAGTTGCCCATGGCTGAAAGTGGGTTCTAGGAAGGCGATTCCAACACGCTCAAATGACTGGCCTTGACTCTTGTTGATTGTCATGCAGTAGCTGAGTCTCATGGGAAATTGCCTCCTTCGAAGTTTGAAGGGCTTCGTCTTGTGTGAGTGGATGAGGTCGATCTTTGGGATTAAAACGGAGAATCCTTTTCGATAATCGGTTGCGAATTCGCCAACTAACACTCTCCTACCCAATTGGATGACAATGAGTCGCGTTCCATTGCAAAGTCCGTGGCGGATATCGATGTCTCGAAGAAGCACGACCATGCAACCGACTTTGAGATTGAGGACATGTGGAGGAAGACCAGTCGGTGTCATTTTGTTGAGAAATGCAGTCGGGAAATTGAGTGAATCCTTCAGATCCTCAACAACCGCGAAACGCCGATGCTTTGAAGATCAACGATTACGTTTCGGACCGAATTCCTGGCGAAAAGGAAACATTTTAGAGTCAATGTGGATAGTGACCTTAGAAAGGTACAAATGACTATCATCGGCAAAAGCCTGGCCAAAGATTTCCTCGCTCAAATCACCATCACAGAGCAAGTTGCTGGGATATTTCCTTGTTGATCGGCTTCCACTTTTCATCACCCACTTTGATCAACGCCTTGAACTCGGCATCGTTTCCTTGAACTCTCATATTCGTCTTCAATTTGTATTGTTTTTAAAGTGGCTAAAGATTGGATCGTTTCAGGCACGCTTGAACCATCTGACCTCAGTCTCCCTTTTCAATGACTGGAAGAACTTATCGAAAGTCTCCGCCGAGTAGCATGGTTTGGCCGCCTAATCGTAGATTGTTTTTTTATCATGTCCTGTAGAAGGGTGTTGACCGTTTCGAATAAAGCTTTCGGGGCCATCTCAAATGAGGTCGTGGTAAGACTTTAGTTGATCCCCCGAGGAGCTCGGCCTTCAGCGACTTCCAGTTTTCCTGTGGTTTTGAAATGCTGAAGAACACAAATTTCAACATTTCAGAAAAGAAAGTTAAAATTTTTTTATGATCGAGAGCAGCAAGTTTGCATTTTTGCTGAATTTGTATTTAACTTCTTGGATATTGCACACATGCTCGTTCCTATTTTGTTGTAGCACTTTTAGTCGCCTTAAGATCTCTCGTTGCAAATGCCTGTTTGAGGCATTTTTGCTTTATTTTCTTAAGTACACCGTTCACGGTTTGTTATTTAGTCTGGGAATGTCGGATAATTTTGACTCGAGCTCTCTATTTGATGCCTTTAACGTCAATAACCTCTGCCCAAGATGACGTCAGGCTAGGCTACCTTTGGCCAACATGCCAAAATCTACCCCCCCTTAGCTTGTATTTGCTTGTAGTCGATTGGCTCGACCGGTTCGGTGTTGTTCTGCATCGGTGTTTTGTCTAGCCCTTACCCGGGTTTCGCCTTGAGCAGCACGGAAGGCTCGATGTTGTTCTGTATCGGCGGCAGGCACAGCCCCGGCCTGGGCCTCGTCTTGATTTGCTCGGGCCACTTGGCGAGCACTCGTATTGTCGGCATGTTCAGCCTAGGCCTCGCCTTGGTTCGCACGGAGTATCCTTTCACGTTGGCGTTATCGCCTTTCTTCGGAAGTCATTCGAGTTCGTGACATCTTGATCTATAATAAGAAAAATTCAAAGGTAGGACATTAGTAATGGAAAAACACAAAAAAAGCGAAAGTGTATGGAATAAAAAATAAAATTAGCAATGCAATGAGCACGGAGTTATGATAAAAGTGAGAGTAAGTTTAAACTTTCTGAGTAAAAATTAAAATGCTTGTTCTAAGTAACCCTATGAATAGAGAAGTATGCATAGACCAAAGTTATGGTCGAAAAAGAATCGTGCTGACTATCCTATTTATGAAAAAATTGGGAAGATACAGTCTACTTATGGAAGATCCTATTTACGTTAAAGCGTTTGAAAAAAATAGCTGCCTATGTAAGTCGTTGTCTATCCTAGTTGGCGAGAAAGAATGTGGAGAGTACGGAAGAAGAAAAGGACATTTAATTGCTAATTTCGAGCGCCCATAAGGTATTAAAGTCGCTGGCAGCTCCAGACCCAACCATACACTGCAGCGTCTGCCAATCTTTTAATGTTTTCATAGCAAAGAAAACTTCTTTCATTGAATAACAAAAGAAAAGCAAAACAATATCCGCCGTCTGGATCCGCACCCACGACCCCCGGATCTGGCGATTGGCCCCCTACCCCCCGACCACACCTGCTCCTCCAGGCCTCGCTAAATTTTCGTGCGCCCGAACGGACGGCCAGACAGTCCTCAATTACGTATAGCAGATTCCACCATATTTGTTTGCTCCTATTGTGTTACATTTCCTGACTCACTAATTTTGATGATACTCTAGCTTTCTAATGTTTCTAAGGCCAGCTCTCACTTATTTTGCATATGTCACAACTCTAGCACAAAATATTTCAGTTACCTAATTAATAAATCTTTTATTTCGAAACATATTATTCAACTTCAAACATCGGCAATGGAACAAAGTAAAGTGAGATCAAGAAAACAAAACACTCGTAGTAATAGAGATTAAATGTCAATGAAAGAAACATTATAGCACTTAATTTAGAGAAATTATCACCAAAATGACAAGATTGTTTACCCAAAATTTAAGAGCCTATGAAAATTTGACTATCCTATGAAGTTTCAGCAGCCGAATCGGAGTCATGCGCTTGTTGAGCCTAAAATGCGTTGAGCATCAAGCATCATACAGAAGAAAAATCAACTTACATTATCGTTTTCCACTGGATTCTGATTTGCCAGTAGAAGTCCCCCAGTTGTTGCCCGTGAATCAAGGAAGTCTCGTACGTAAAGGAAGGCCTGAAGCACTCGATCCTCCATGTTCCTGAAAAATTTAATTATCTTCCGGATAAAGAATATTGAAAATAATACATATATTACAACTAACCACCACGGTACTTAAAATTTAATTAACTCACAATCGAATAGCATGCTCTGAATGCTCAATGATCTGTCTAGCTTCGTTGATTGCATTCAAATTTCCCTAAAAGTCAATGTAAGAAAGATTTCATGAATCAAAGGCTTACTTGTCGGATCAACTCTCGCAGTTCAGCCGGCACAATCTCGGCGATATTAATCCGTTCAATAATGTCCGGCAAGTTTCTAAAGTCCCTTAATTTGAAAAATATTCGATAGTTACCGTGGTGGACCGGCTGCACCTCGATAAATGACGGCCAAGGTTAGTCCTTGTTGAAAAGCCAATGTACCAATGTGCTCGTGAAAAGTAGCTCTGAAAAGACTATATCTAAGAAAAAGTGACAGAAAACTAACGGATTACGAAGATTTTGAGGTACTTTTGGTGTAGTTCCAAGCATCTCTTCAATCCTGTCAGGCCGGTAGATCACATGATTCGGTCGAAGTGGCCGCTGCGCATCAACTCGATTCAAAACGCCGGCTCTTTCCAAAACGACGGCAACCTAAATTCATTTGAAGGTGAATGGAATAAAAATCCTTGCCTGATAAGGATAGACTGGAATATTTGGATCCGTCTGCAGGACCTGCTGAAGAACTTGAGCTCGAAGTTGAATCTCGGGCACCGTCATCACAGAAGACATCGGATATAACACCCCATAAGGATCAGGTCGATTCTGAATTCAAAATCCTTACAGTTGTAAATTCTAGGGTGGTAGCCATGTTTTGTCGCATTAGTAAACACAAACCGGTGGTGGTGGAGGGATTAGTTGTGGGAATGGCGGTGGAGCAAGCACTGGCGCGTTAAATTGGAATCGATTACCACTGGGCCCCTGCACATGATTGCTCTGAAAAACAAATGATTCTTAGCAAAAACTAAAATTCTTACTTCTCTTGGCTCTTCCAAATTTCCATTTGCTCTTTGGCGCAACTCGTCCAGCGTTTGCACCTCTTCATGACTGGGCACACTTCCCTAAATAAAAGATTATTAAATGAACGTTAGATTTACTTACATCGCTTTCATCACTGAGTTCTCGTGGTTGCTGGCTAGTTGACTAAACGAATTAGCTTAAAATTTTCAAGAAACCACAATTTTACCTGGCCAGAAAACTGCATTGGTCTGAAACTCTGGAATGAACCAAATGGATTCGAAGTTGATGGTTGCATCTAAAAAGCTTTAGGTGTGTTTGACCAAAAATCCTAACCTCGGGTAAAAAATGAGCTTGTGGTGCTGGACGTGGTTCTAAAAGCGGCGCTTCTACAGGTTGAGCTGTACCAAATCCTTGAAATCGCGTTAGCGCTCGTTCATCATGAGTTGCCAGTCTGATTTGAGGCTAAAGACATCAAAATTTGTGTTGGGGAGCATGAAATCACGAACCTCAGCCTCAATCATTTGTCCTCTTAGTACTGGAATTGGAGGCTCTTCTCCTCGGAGTGCGGCAAGCTAAAATGTCCCTAGTAAATAAGCAACTTGAAAGCCATTACTTCGGCATTTGCATGATCAAGTTGTTGTGCAAGACTCATCAAAGTCTGATCCTGTACCCTTGAAAGCTCATGTAATTCGGCGCGTTCCTGGGCAAGACCTTGCACTTCCTAAAATAAAAACTAGAGGGGAAATCTAATAATTTTTTAACCATTGAAAAGATTTGTGCCAATCTTTGCACTTCTTCCAGCGTTCTATCTGTTGGTGGTGCACTCACAGGTTTGGTAGCGACTTCACGTTGAACCTAATTATAAATTCAGCAAGGAGAGGTTTCTGCAAAACCGACTTGATAGAGGCGTGATGTCCGATTTCCTCTTCGAACTGGCTGTGTTGAATTTGAGCTACAACTCCTTCTAAATCGAGAAACAATTTTCCGTGCTAAAGAAGCTAGACTTACGACGACTCCACTGTGTCTCTATTTTTCGAGGTTGGCTGTGAATTTGATTCGGTTAGAGTCGTCATAATTTGAAGCTTTCTTCGTGCCCACATACTAAAACTAATTCGTAAATCGTTTTTAAAATGGGCAAAACCCCATGCCAAATGATGAATTCCAAATTGATGGCAAAGCATCAATAATAGCCACAAAAAGGAACGGAATAATCGGTAGTACAACGAAGACCAGAAATGAGTAAGTTGGGCGGTATCCAAGAGCACTCGAACTACATTCATGCTGGCTATTGTCCTGTCTAAAGTCACAACGAATTTAGTACATTGTAACAATCTCACCTGTGGTCCTCGAGCCGAAAAGCTTCCTCGTTTTGCGCATCAGAACTCAAATTGAACAAACATCTAAAAAAACGATTTTAAAAAAATCTCTCCACACTATATTTACTTCAAGTCGGAGAAAATCGTTTCTTTTTCTCGACTAGGCCAACCAGCAACAACTATCGAATGTAATCCAATTGCGGCTATCCAAAGAGCATAACAGAAGAGGATTGCCACTAAACCGAAAATCCATAAAAATCGAAAACTGACGCTTACCAATTGACAAGTTGCTGTAGAGAAGATTTTTGTGCAGAAATGCGCGTGAAGGTCTTCTTGGTTTGGATTTCGAAGATGCGTCAGCTCCACTCAATCGTTCAGCTTCTAGAAATTAGATAAACTCGCTACTCTATAACAGTTACCATTGACTTTAACTTTATCGGCTTCCAAGAGCTCAACAAAAGCAACATTTTCGTTAGACGAATCCCCTAAATATAGGCATTTTACAAATGTAATCTTCAATGCAATCGATGCGCTATTTTATTAAAAAAAACTTACGACTAGCCAATGTTCTAATAACTGTTAGGCCCAAGACGAGTAGCACGAAAAAGATTGACACTCCAAAGTTTGTACCCATCGATATTGTTGATAAGTTACCGGCAAGGCAAACACCCGAAAATTCGTCACGCTCGACCTAAAGTCAAGAGGATAAATATTAAAACCGAAATTCACAAACCCCAAGACTGTTCGTCAACACAAAAGGCAGTGACGAACCGTAAGCCAACAAGGCGACCCACACAAAATGTTCAACCACTTCGATACTGGAGACTTTCTAATTAGTGAAACTTGAAAGAAAACCTACTTTCTAATCAACGAAACAACGAATCTCGTTTGCAAACGGTTTGCCATCGAAAACGAGATCGATAGAAGTGGGGTTATGTTACATACGATCGAACAAGTTGACATCAGCTTTTGCAGCCAGGAACAAACACTAAACCAACTCAATATGGTTGAAACCAAAAATGTAACAAATACCCACCCAAAATTTAGGGGGCTGGCTGTTGGAAAGAGTCTCGTGCCTTCCAAGGAGCATGTGACATCATTGAATGAAAACTCCGCTGAGGAGAACATCCATATCGCCATGTAAATCACAGCCGGTAAAACTCCACCAATCACGAAAAACCGAGCCGAAATACTCCTTTTCAGAACATCGCTCTTGAAAAACGCAGATACCTAAAATACTTCAGTTAAAATAAGCAATAAATATATAAAACTCACCAAGAAAAGCAACAGGACCACCAAAGAAATTAATGAAAATGCGAACTTTGAGTGCTCATACCACTGCAACTGGAGAGAAGGCAATCTAGAATGTGCACTTTATAATTTGTCCTGCCATACTCTTGAAAACCTGCAAGGCGAGTAACACTCGTCGAAAACCTTGTTTGAGAACTGATTAGATGGAGTCTTTTTCCTATGCACAAGTGGCCAAGGACAGGTTTTTGACTCAAAAGTCGGAAGAAATGGCGGTGTTATCTAAAACCAAACGTAAAAAATCATCACAGCTGACATGAAATTATATACCTGACAAGTAGCCGAAAAGGTGTCGTTCTTCTCATCGCAGCTGAAAGGCAAAAGCTTTTTCAATGATGGTTGAATAACGAAAAGCTCTTTGCAGGCATCCATCATTGACGTACACTTCTTGATTGGCGTTCGATAGGTGAACGTTGCACCGGCCTCACCAGATTCTAAAAAACGCGTGATAAGTGGAAAAGCAATACAAAAACTTGAAGCTTTAGATGTTTCGTAAATCAATGCAACATACCCGTTTGTACTTTCGTATTCTTGCATGGAACATAGCTTGCTGCACAGATTAAGGGCAGAAGTTGACGGTAGCACGATGGGAAGAGTTTCATCAACGGATTTTCGAAGTTTTCCAATGGAGGACTTGTAAAATGAAAATCGTATGTGATCGGAGCACCATAACAATCGATTCCTTAATGATAAAGTTTACTTTGAAGAGTCAATCTTATTTGTAAAATCTAGAGTCTCCAAATGTGTGTGAATCATAAAAAAAAGCTTGCAGACATTTACCTAATGGTGTAACACATTGAGGCGGCACAGTTTCGGTATCGGACTTCGTGTGGCACTCATTCGCACACATCCAACTATCATTCTCCGTAGAACAGTTAAACTAAAATGATTTATAAATCATACCTCTCAAACAAAAGCTCACCGATTTCCCATTTTCGGCTGCACAGATCGACAAGAAGATGCAGAAGGCGATGAAGCAACACTTGGTAGCCATTTTCACATACTAAAATAAAAGATTTTCAACGAATCATCCTGCAACTATGGAGAACAATGAATAAAGATGTAGAGTTATAGAGACAGTAAAGGGTAGCGCTGAACCGAGAAGGGAAAAGTTCCGCGAAACGACTGTGCATAGGAAAATTCTGTGCTACTTGACTAATAGCTCTCGTAAAATTGGTTTGCCAGAAGGTTTTTATGGTGTGTAAAGTATAATGTTTTTGCCTACTCGTCTATTTCTAAAAAATTGTAACAACTTTATGGTGTTTGTACTTTTCTAACTCTTTGAGACCTCTAGCTACAAATACCCTATCCAAAAGCGAATTAAAAGTTGAGGAAAGTACCAACTTTAAATAAGCCAAACGACCAGCCAAAAATGCTCTTTTGCTAAACTGAATACCTTTAACTTGGTAGGCCATAAAATTATGCTCTATAAAAGACAAATCTATTTCTGCTGCTCATTTTTCTCAAGGCAACCGGGTAGTGTCATTGGGTTGATAGTCTAGCTGTTTGGAAAGATATTTTATCAAACGAGCGACTAACAGGAACTTCAGATGTATTTTATGTTAGAGATGCGGAAAAAAATGACTTTTTTTACGGACTACAAAACTATCAACCCAACCGTTCTTTCATTGATTTTTTTAATTATTTTGACGGCTAATATTTTTCCTTCAGATTCGAAGCCGGGAAAGCTCGGGCGTCAACTTGATAAAATGGGAGCTAAATCGAAGTGAGTTAAAACTTTTCGGGCAGTATTACGTTTTTGCATTTAGATATGTTGTTGTCCTACTTTCATCGGTTATAACGGGATCACCAAGAGTTTGGGTAAGTTGTGTTAAACTTTGAAACGTTGGTGCTTGATTTTGTCTAACAATATACAGGTCTTTCCAAAAAAAGTCAGTTCAGCGCGATTTTTCTCAGAATTTCTAGTGGCTCCTGGTGGTTGTTGTGATGCTAAAGTTAATATTTTGGGCGAGCAAATTTTTGATATTTTGTCACTTTTTTTCCGATTTCATGACTTGCCTATTACATGGAAATTCCTGAGCCACCATGGTCACCACCACCATGAGACTTTTGCCATAAAATTAAAACTTTGTACTGGCATTTTGGTGTCCTATTAGGTTGATATATAAACTAAGATTTTTAACCAAACACTTTATTAATCTACCTTATATAATAATCTATCGTACAAAAGAGATCTTCAATTCACCTTTTTTAAAGATGTGTCCCGTTTTTCCAACGAAACACTGATCAATAAAGTGCATGGTTTAAATTTCTAATTATCCCAATATGATTTACTATGCACCACGATGCCAGCACAAAGTTTTAATTTTGTGGCAAAAGTCTCATGATGTTGGTGACCATGGTGGCTCAGAAATTTCATGTATAGGAAAGTCATGAAATCGGAAAAATATCAAAAATTTGCCCGCTCAAAAGATTCACTTTGGCACCACAACAACCTCCAGGAGCCACTAGAAATTCTGAGGAAAATCGAGCTGAACTGACTTTTTTTTGGAATAGCCTGTAATTTTAGGTTCGCGAAAGAGCGGCCGAGAAATTTGCAGGCGTGTTCTTCGATCCGGCGTGTAAGTGTTTTGTTCAATTTTTTATCTTTGCATTAGTTAGTATTTTGAGACTGAGGCGCCAGAAAAATAAGCTGAGGATTTGGTAAATACTAGAGGAAGAAACGATTGGCCGTTTTTCTTTGTCCCGAATAAATAAAGAAAGGCAACGTTTTGCGCAACTTTGCGGTTTTATTATTAGATCGTAGTATGAAAAATTTTCACGTTTACCATCATAATTATTTGATTTCAGTAGGGCGTGATTGTCTCTTCGAGGAAAGCAAAAGAATAAAAGGAAAAACCGATCTTCCAAAAAGGATAAAAGAACTTTACAACGTCACCTAAATTTTTTTCTGTTTGTTTTGTTTTTAGTGTATCTAGGTTTAATAAACGATTTTAACACATTTTGTTATTTAAGACCTGGATAGCTATTTATCTCGTGGTATGTTGGACTGCTTTTCCACCCCCAGCCAAATTACGTCTCGTGCATGAAAGTTCTTTGCGTTGATATATGCAGTGTTGGAAGTCTTCGAAATCACAAGTTCTTTAGTTAATGGCTGAACTCGTTGCAAACATGGATGTGAGTCTTCTGGCGATCGCTGTAGCAATTGTTGTCGTCATTGCCAGCGTTCTGTTCTTTGTGTTACGGTCTTTGGGTAATTTTTTCTTAATTTAAAACTTTTAATACGTTATTGGTATTAATTTTTAGGCTTTATTTAGGCAAATCTCCAACAACCGTCTTAATTTGTGGTCTCTCTGATGCTGGAAAGTCTCAAATTTACGCAAGGCTCGGAAACAAAGGTAGTTTTGTTTGTATTAGATTGGCAACTCGAAAGTTGGTATATTTATTCATTGCACTTTTTAGAAATAACTAGTCCATCAATTAATCTACAGTTTTTACCAATAAAAAGACCCAATTATTCTCTAAAACACCGCTTTGACAGATTTAGAAAAGGTTGGATTTTGTGGGCTTCTAGGGGGCAAGAAGTTGAGGAATCAAAAATGATGATCACTCGATGAAGCGATTTGATGAAGCACTTTCTTCCACATAAACCTATTTTAGTGTCAAAAAAGAGAGAGCATAACAAGTTAGATAAATAGTCAAATTTTCGGCTAGTTATAATGAATCGTTTTTATTATTGGTCGATTTGAAGAATTTTCAGAAAAAATTTGAATTTCTGCTCAAATTCCTTTCAAAAGTTACCCAGATTTGCTTAAGCATGACTTAAATTAGATAATATATAACTTTTATTTAGAAAAGTCTAATTCAATTGACGTATTAAATATGCCTTATGGAAAATACGAGAAAGTATGCCAACTTTCAAGTTGTCAATCTAATATTTCATGTTTCAAATTTTATTTTTTATTTTAGAGGCTGAAGTTCTCACGTATACATCGATGGCTGAAAACAGCTTTGAATGGAAGGTTTGTGCTATTTTTGATTTTATTTACCTAAAACTATCTAGCTCGGTAAAAGGCTGCTACGAATTGTCGATTTTCCGGGAGCAGAAAGGCTTCGAAAGAACTTGATTGAGAAATATTTGACCAAGGTTTAATTTTATTTGCGATAATTTCATCAATTTGAAATAATGTTTATTTGCTTCGAGCTAGCGAAGGCCGAATTTTTAATAATATAATGTTTAGGAAAGATCATCACTTCGTGGAATCGTCTTTGTCGTGGACAGCGCAACATTTGGAAAACGTTCGCGTGATGTCGCTGAAATGCTTTACGATGTAGCACTCGAAAGCGAAACCAAGGTAACACATTCATTCTCAAATTTAGGAAAGTCGAGAAAACAATTTTTTAATTTAAGTTTTGAATATAGGTTCCAATTCTCGTCACTTGCAATAAACAAGATATTGGTTTGGCAAAAAGTGCTGAGGTGGGCTGATTAAAATTACGTATCATGACGAGCATTGAGTACAATATTTAAATTATTTTTAGGCAATTCGTTCTTCTTTGGAGCGAGAAATTGGACTCATCAACCGATCACGCTCTGCCGCACTAACAACAACCGATGGAACGAATCAAATAAGAACTTTGGGCGATTCGGGATCGGAATTCGCTTGGGATGATCTTCCGATTGAAGTAACATTTTCATTTTTCAGAAGTTTTATTTTTAAAAGAAACTTTTATATTTCCTTTTTATTTTCAGGTTGACTTCGTGGAAAGCTCGGTTGCGCCAGATTCGATTGGATTGGACTCGGTCAGACAATGGATCAAAAAATAATTTCCCGGTTTGCAGCTTTTAAATATCTATTTGCACATGTGATTGTTGTTGATTTTATAGTTACCATGCTTTCTATGTTTTGCATATATTTAATCTTTCATTGTGCTACATTTGAGATAAACTGAAAATATTTATTTCTGCAGAATGCGTTTTTCATAGCTAATATTTTTGAGGCTTTGTTTCTTGCAATCGGCGAGAATCGCCTCGATTTTGGCTTGCGTGTAGAGAACGTTTTGAAGAGTTGAGTTTTCTTTCTGGAATTTAACTCTTAAAGCGTTATCTTCATTAGTTTTTATTCAAAAGTATCAGGGTTAAATCAAAATTTAAGCTCTATTACATTGCAGGCACTACTGTAGTTTTTCACTTACTCCAGTTGGAATTGCCCGCTCCTGTGGTTGTGGTGGTTTCTCTTCGGGTGACGCTCGCTCTTGCAGTCGAATTTTCTTGTGGGGAATCACGTCAATCTAAAAAATAAAAAAAATTGGCTTAATTAAAAGCAGAACATTTTGGAATGATTGAGTGTGCATTAATCTAATTTTCCAAATCTTGAAACCAACCCCAACAATTGGAGCCGTATCGAATGGGAGCACCAACTCGCTGTACAACTCCTTGCAATCCCAGGCAATTAGGCGATTGTAGAGAACCCGTTTGATGTTGGTTTGATCTCGGATTATCTGAAAGTTTTTTAAAACAACAAACATATGATAGATTTAGTTTTGAGACTCACTTTTTGCGAACTGTAAATCCGATTCCTCAATATATTGTTCGCGTTTTGCACGTACTTGACCTTTTCGTTCAACAGCTCGATTTTCATCCGATACCTTTCACTTTTCGACTTTCTTGCAGGACGTTGGTAGTGATATTGTTGTTGATTTGTTGACTCCATCTTTTAAGAATTCGTTGTCCTTTAGCGAATCAGAGTCTTGCAAATTTGTGGTTGTTTTTTCGAACCTTTTTGCCCTTTCTGTTTGTCATTTCAAAATCATCTGCTCTTGGTGTAATTGACAGAAATTTACACTTGCCAATTCTTTTCTTTGCCAAATTGGTGACAATTCATCGATCAATTAATGTTCTAAAATTTTGAAGCTGATACCGATCAAAAGGCGAGTTGAAGCAACTCGAAGTTGAAGCAATGGATACAACTTTGAACCAAAATTTTATCCATTGAAGAGATCCTTTTCTTTCTCTTTCCTCTTCTCTCCTTTTTCGTTTTCATTTTTCCTTGTCAAAACAATTTGCAGCCGAAGGGAATCGAGCTCTTGACCCTTTTTACCTTTCGGGCAGACGCTATATCTACTGAGCCATAGGCTGATATTGATATCCACTGAGCCATCTTTCCCGCGAGAAAAAAAAGCAGAAAAAGAAAGGAAGAATCTGCTTTCTCTGAAGTCTTTATTTAATTGTCATTCAAATGAAATAACTCCGTTCTTTTAAAACTCTTCTTTTTTCACAAAATTTATTCACATATACATAAAATGAATAAGAAAATTCCATAAAAAGAAACAAAATGGAAATAGGACTTGAGACTCGACCGGTATAAGATTTGCCCGCTGAGAAAAAGAAAAAGGAATAGAATAACAGGGAGAGTATGAAGTATTAAGGCTTTGGCAGTTAGTTGAGATATTTAAAGTTCTTTTTTCAGCTCATTCTTCTCATCGATTTTCTTCTTCTCGGGTCGGAAAAACATTGGGATTGTGAAAATCATGAGAACGGCGATGATATGAGGAAGAAAATAGATGCGGCTGAAAGAGAAAATAACGATAAAATCTTAGCTAGTCTTTTATCTCGTTGTTCTTTATTCTGTGGAATCTTTAACTCCACTTAATCCAAGTACAAAGTAGTAGTATGTACCATTACATTACACTACAGTAGACAGATTTTAGTTTAATGTAGAAGCCAGTGCACTGTAGCTAAATTAGAAACTATTGCACCGTATTAGACTGAATATTCGTAAAACTTTAATCTAATCATTTTGCTATTGGTTGATTTTGAAACTCACGAATAGATGAACATTGCAGGATATGCATGCATTGTGACAAATGAATAAGCAGCGTAAGCGAGAGCGATTTTAGTGGCCATAAATGTGATTGCATTGTAGACGAATTTGCTCGACGAACTGCCCAAGAAACGATATCGGAAACAGCGACGAAACTGAAATGTTCAAGAGTTTACAAGAAAACTTTGCGAATTGAATCTTACCGTTCTCGCAGCAAATGTGAAGAGAGCAGTGGTGCCGAAAGCGATGTAATATCCAGGGAAGAGACCATGCCACCAAGCAGATAAAGCATACGTGGCAAGAGTTCGATATCTGGAAAATAATATGATCTGTAAGATTTTTAATATAAAACTTGTTGATTTAACAAAAAAAACAACCTTCTTGGAGCTCTATCGAAGGCAGCTCTGCGAAGCCAAGCGACTGTTGGAATATTCCAGTTGTCGAGGGTTTCTTTTAAGCTTTGAGCCATCTAAATTTGATAATAAAGTTATTTTTAAAGAATTGCCAATAACTGTGTTCACTTTTCAATTACTCACTTCAACTTTTTGCATATCGACACTAGTCATCATGTTCCAAGTAGCTTTCCCATTCTCGTCATAACCGCTGAAGCCGAAACCGGACAAGTTGCAAATGGCGTCAGCTGAGATTTACAATTTCAAGTCCAAAATTCAAAACTTACACATCACCCAGGCGAAGTAGTACTGGACTCGGCTGAAGAAAATGCACACCCACCAAATAGCCAACCATTGAAGAAGTGGTTTGCTTAGATCTCTGAAATCGATTTATTAAAATATTTAATACGATTTTTACCTGTCTTCAGCCAATCTTTCCACATAGAGGCTTCCAGAAAATATGGAGATCGAGAAGACGAGACCGGCGGCGATGGCCAACTTGCGGACGCCTGTGCTGATAGGTGATGGGATCTAAAATGGATTTAATTTAAAGAATATTTTCAAATACACAGCACCTGTCCCTTTTTGTCAGCGGGTATATGGGTGCCATCGATGAAGTGAACGAAGTCGACGTAGAGACACATGGGACCGGTGAGAACAGCTTGGAAATGGAAACAGTAAGAGAGGTACATCAACAATGGGGGAGCTTCACTGAAAAGGAGAAATTCTAGAGTTCTTAGCAAGTTCAGGATTTTGAGCTTAAGTTGTTAATTAAGTTTTTAAGTTACTAGCTCTGCAGACTTCTGATGTGGAAGCTTGACCTCAAAAGTATCGGGACATTCTTGACTTGTCTGATGAAATGCAGGGTAGGACCTGGATCTATTAGGCTGACTAGAAAGTCTTTTCTTTCCGTACTTTTGTTTAAAACCATTAGTGAATTGTTGAATATTTGTTATTTTTCAATGGAAGTATGAAAAGGAATGAAAATACTTTCTGAACAGCCTAATAGATTCAAATATTTATTGCTTATAGTCAATTATTTTATATATTATTACTAATATTATATCCAGAACTATGTATTTTTATGGCCAAGAAATCAATTATACTTTTGTACTTTTATACTTTCAAGATAAGCTTGTTAACTGTAACTGACGTGAGCGCTTCTCGCTTCTGATGTTCCATGAGTTCCTCTTGCTTTTTGCATCGTCCATCATGTAATTGAAACGCCAACATTGTCACCTAAACACTTTCAAGCATAAAATGAACTTTAGAAGCAATTTTAGTGATTTAAACCCGTTTGACTGGCTATTAAGCCATGATTAAAGCTCACCTTTTGCACCATGATCATCATTGGTCCAGTGATATCCAAATAGTATTCCTTCAAAATTTTCCATCGATAAAAGTGAATGAACGTCAAATAGCCAGTTGCTACGAGAAATACTAATCTAAAAACAAGATTTGCAGAGAACAAGATTTTCATTAATACTTACTTATGCACATATTGTTGTGGAGCTAAGCGAATGACGGCATAGTTGATGATCACATTCCATAAGATGTGCTTTATCGCCCTGAAAAGTTTCTTTATATTCGGAAAGATAATGAAGCTAAATGTTAATCAATCAAAAACAGAAGCATTTCAGTGCACCAGAAAGGGTGTGCTTGCATTTTTTGCAAAGTACACAATAAAGTTCACTTTGCTCTAATGAAACTAGCACAAAAACAGGCTATTACAAGAGTTGATGCAATGATTTTGATTTGCGATCGATTTACTTACCATCCAAAGCAGAAGAAACAAAAGGAAAGTCCGACAATTGTCGGGAAAATGACGCGGACTTCTTTCGATACTTTCCCCGCTTTCATATGAACATTGTAAGAATAACTTAATGGAACAGCAGCAACGAGACACATCACGAGATTGATCTAAAACGGTCTAAATTGGTTTGGTGGTAAATAGCCGTTTGGCCGAGTGGCTAGAAGCCTTGTATCTGAGTCGGGAGATCATGGGTTCAATCCCGGCTAAAGTATTTTTTTTTTTACATGGGTTTTTTCTTGCCTTCTCTTTTTTGCCTAGGTTGTGCTTGAGTATTGTTTTATCACATTGCTCATGAGAATGTATTTTTAGCGAGAGAACATTTAAAAGTTGCTCTGGTTGTTTGAGGTGAGTTTTGAGAGGCTTGACTTTTGCTGATATTCAGAATCTACATTTTTCAGCTTACTGAATGATACCAAGCTTATCTCAAGTAATTTGACTAGTAATATTTCAAGTATTCGACAGGTAAGCTGCTTTTTACTTTAGGTAAAAGAATTTTGCATTGAACCTCTAATAAAAAATCTAGATTTGAACCATTACAGGAATTCGTGTCTTAAATAAATTTAATAATCTAATATTTTTTAATACTTCCTTAATCTTTTAATCTTTTAATTTGTTTATTTGTCAATTTTCTTTTACCTTATCTGTTTCCACTCCAACCACCCTCGAGAGTGGCTCGAACATTTGTGAGCCATCGTAAAACGTGTGAACGCCTGGCATCACCCCGATTTCCTAAAATCATTAGTTGTCCAGAAGATTTCAAAAAGTATGGTTGAGTCAAAATAAACAGTGGCGAAAAGGGGGCACGTGCACTCAACAAATTTTGATAAAGTCACAAAAGAGTGGCGAATTTCGCAATATCAAAAGGGAAAAAGGTACAGAAAAACAGCTTGGTTGAATGAATGAAATTCGCCAAAATTGGAGTTCTTAAAAGTTTCGTAAACAGTAAACAAATAAATTCATTCAAATTACTGAACTTTTCAATCTAAAAACGGTAAATATGATTGAATTAAAGCTTTTCAAATGCAGCTTTCAAAAATTGCATTGAAAAACGGCTATGTGATGGAATTTAGGCAAAAAAAATTTAGAGAAATAAGGGATCACATTTAGAGAGATAAGGAACCAAATTTGGAGAGATAAGGAACCAAATTTAGAGAGATAAGGAACCAATTGGTAGAGATAAGGAACCAAATTTAGAGAGATGAGGAATTGGTGTAATCGTATTCAATTTTAATCCCGAGAAAAAACAGCTGATAAAACATGGGCTATGTTGAATTACAGAAATGAATTGATACAGAAAATTGTAATAAAAGCCTGGCTAAGTAACGCTAAAATTATAGTTGAAACTGATGACCAATATATTCTAATTTTTATATCCAATGCCTGAGCTATTTAAGAATTAAACGATAGTATATGGAAATCTGCAAATCGGAATTTGATTTGATCAATTTGAAATTTAAAAGTCGGAACAAGTACTGACTAAAACGTCACTAACTCACTAAACTTACAAAAAAAAATTTTGGATTGTTTTGTGCTAGGATTTTCAGGGTTAAAAGAGGCCAGCAAATAAAAGTGTGAGAGAAATAGTGGGAGTGCAATCGAGCGATCGAAAAGAAATTCTTGCAGGGGAAAAGATTGGAGAAATGGAGGAGAAAAGATTGAAGTGATTGGGGGAAAGATGGAGATGGGAAAGAGGAAAGAGAGCAACCGATCACGCCACATCCGAGACAAAAAAACATGTGAATTGGAGGGAAAAAGTGATCAATAGATGGGCAAAGGAATGTAGTATGAACTGGAATTTGATGTTTTTATGAAAACTGGATGTGAATGGTCATTAATAATTGGTCTTGTATCAATAAATGATCTTCAAGCTTCAAATTGAATGTTTTGTGATGGGAAAAGTTAACTGAATATTTAAATTTGATTGGTAATTGATCTTTAGATCAATTAGAAATGCTTGATAATTGATCTAAAGATCTAATTGATCTTTAGATCAAGTACCAATCATTTCTAATTGGTTCTAAAATTTCTTCAACCAGCTGGTTAACTGAATAACTCTGATTCTGGTTACCGGATAACTTTAATCATATTTTTCTTTTGTTCATCTTCTTCTAAGAAAAATAAAATGTCAGAGATGATTAAAAGTCTCCTTATATGAAACCAGTTCAGAGCCAAGCTCAATATCGACTTAAAGTAAAGCATAAAACCCTCCTCTGGCAGCATTTAGATACGTACCAGTTTAGCTGGTAGAGCTTGGTAGCTTGGTAAAGCGTTCTCCAAATAGGTGAGAGGTTGTCGGTTCGAGTACACCCACCCTGTTTTGTATTACTGTTTTGCTAACTAAAAGTCCCAAGCAAATCAGAAAGCTAGTTAAATAGTTGGCAGATCAAAAACTTGTGCACCGTCGGGACTCGAGTCCGCGACCTTTCGCTTATCGTGCAATTGTGCTAACCATTACACAACGCAGCAGATCTCCCTTGCTTCAGAGGGAGTTAGCTAGATCTTCATCATCAGGATTCACGACTGAATTGGTTCTATATACTAGGAAGTGTTCAGAAGGTTGATCGTAAGAAAGTTTGCCAAGTTGTCCAGTACTTTCAACGAAAAATCTCAAGTCAAAACACAATTTAGCAGCTGTTTTTCCCCAAACAAATCAGAATACGAATCGAAAAATTACAAAAAGATTAACACGATCAAGAGATAAATGCAGAAAAACCGACAAAAAACATGGAGGGGAAGATAAGGGAGCAGCGACTAGAATGGGGAGTGTCAAGGGAGAAAAAAAGGGAAATATTTGAAGAAAAGGGGCAAAGTCCTATCGAAAGACACAAAAAAATGGCAATATCATAAAAAAGGATTTGATCTTCGGTGTGACAGAATGTGATACGATAATTGCCCGCAATTTTGGCAAATCTGCAATTATTCCGGCTAAACTAAGATAGATTTAAGTCAAAAAAAAGGTAAACTTGACCAGTACTTATTAGTGCTATAAACGTTTTAGAATTCTAATTTGTCTAACAATTATACGAACAGAGAACTTAAATTACTTTTAAGAAAACAAAGGATTAACAAATCAGGTGATTTATCTTGCTAAAGAAAAATGTAAATCAAAATCAGTTTCATTTTACTTTACTATAGTCGTTACTCAACTACTATAGTCGTTACTCTACTACTATAGCCGTTACTCTACTACTATAGTCGTTACTCTACTACTACAGTTGTTACTCTACTACTATAATCTTTACTCAACTACTATAGTCGTTGCTCTACTACTATAGTCGTTACTCAGCTACTATAGTCGTTGCTCTACTACTATAGTCGTTACTCAGCTACTATAGTCGTTACTCTACTACTATAGTTGTTACTCAACTACTATAGTTATTTTTATAGTTACTTCATACTATGCATTTACTTTTAAAATTGAAATTTTTACATTTTTACATTTTTACATTTTACATTTTTGCTCTTCAAAACCTCATCAATTCAATGCCAGACCGCATTTTTCAAGTAATTAATCGTTCTGGTGCGTGTGCAGATTATTAGTTCTGATTTTTAACCTTTGATTTTTAATTTGTGTCGATAAATAAAGATATTTTCATAGTGCGTTTAAGAATTTGAAACGGTTAATTTAGCAAAAAGTTTCTATTTTGAAAATTTTTACTTTTTACAGTATGCTTCTTTTTCGTGTTATTTAGGTTTTAAGACATGCTCTTTCTCATAGAAAAAGATTAATAGTTGTAGCGGTGATCAAAATGCAAAATCCGCTATTTTAGAGGGTGCGTTTAAGAATTTGAAACGCACTGTATAGTCGTTACTCAACTACTATAGTTGTTACTCAACTACTATAGTCGTTACTCTATTACTATAGTTGTTACTCTACTACTATAGTCGTTACCCTATTACTTTAGTTGTTACTCAACTACTATAGTTGTTACTCTACTACTACAGGGTGCGTCATAATTATTGCAACAAGAGTTCAAAGATCGTTTTCCAAACAGCTTTCTTATTTTTTTTGCCCCCTTTTTTGTTGTGTTGCGTTCTATCTTCTTTATTCTTGCCTAATTGCCTCCCGCTCACACGAAGAAGACGGTTCAGGACTGGTGTGTGGCCAACTTTCCCTCAGTGATCACCAAGGATGAATGGCCTCCAAACTCACCGGATCTCAATGTGATGGACTTTTCCATTTGGGCAATCTTAGAGGCTAATGTCTGCTCTTTGACCTTGAAGAAGTGTTTGACCAAAGGATGGAAGGCGACTCCTCTGCTTGATGGCGACTCCAAGATGACATTCGGGCCGCAGTGGAGGCATATCCGAACCGATTAAGGGCTGTTATCAAGGCAAAAGGCGGTCATATCGAATGATCTCTTGTTTCCTTATTTGTTACTGTTAAATAAAGCTATTTCTGTTTAAAAATCTTCTTCCAGTGAAACTTCTTGGTGTGCAATGCCTTGAGTATCTTGTTGCAATAATTATGATGCACCCTGTATAGTTGTTAGTTACTTCATACTATTCATTTACTTATTTAAAATTGAAATTTTTACATTAAAACGAGTCTACTTCAGACAAAACACAATTTCTCAGTACAGGAACTGAAAAAACTTGAAATGATGAAACTAAAAAGTAGTTTTATAGAGGAAACCGGTATCGTGAAAAGGATTTCCGTTGAGATGAATGGGGGTGAGAGTGATCATCATCCACTTGCACACGAATAGAAAAGAAACGATTAGTTCACGTTGGGTTCACGGGTACACGCTTAGATCCTCTATATAAATATCAGTTCTTCTGGAACTTGATTCTTCTGTAACTTCAGCTTTTCTTACTGAATTAGTTCTGGTATTCACTTTTCTGACCGATTTTGTAGGTTTTTTTTAACAGTAAAAAACCTGAGTAAGATTCTTGTTGAATTTAAAAACCATTTGGATCTTTTGAATTCAATTTCTGAGCCCAATCTTTCAATTAGAAAGAAAGATCATTTCCAGAATTCAATAAGAAACTCTTTCTGAGCCTAAGAAAGATCATTTCCAGAACTTTCCACTCTTTTTGACTTTAAGGCAAAAACAGAAATGCAACAGCTTCGGTCATGATCTTTTGCACTCAACTAAAAGAGGAAATAGGAGAGAAGAGGAGATTTAAAGGGGAAAACCTGATGACGAAAATCCTCACCGATTTTGTGGAAAGTAGAGAATAGCTTCTAGCAAAAAAGAAAGAAGAAAGATCACAAAACGAGCCTACTAAAGTTTTTGTGAATGTTCGCTTTTTGTACTTTCAAGTTTTGCTTTCAATAGATTGAACCATTTAAAACTTTTTAAAACTCAAACTAACCAACTTTCTGGTCAGCTGAGCTGTATTTACTTTTGTAATCCATTGTAAATCTAATTTAAAGCTTACTTACCTGATTGTTACTATTAAATGTTTAAAATCTTTATTATAAAGGCACTAAAAAGAATTGAACAGAATTGAACAGAATTGAACTAAGAAGTGGACTGAACAAAGTCTTAGCAAATCAGAAATTATCGAATTTATATGGGTTGTAAGATATTGTAAGCTATTGTAAGATATTGTAAGATATTGTAAGCTATTGTAAGATATCTTACAACCCATATTGTAAGATATTGTATTGTGCAGTATTGTAAGATAAGTCTTATCTTTAATCTTTCAGTCATCGTTTCATATCATTGTTTAAAACTTTAGCTTGATTAATTTGTTAACCGGTCGAAGAATTATACCCGAACAAAGTTGTTTGGCTAAAGAATTTCTTTGAATATCTTTTAATTCCTCTTCTACTTCCAAGTTTTACTTCTACTTCCTCTACTACTCTTCTACTTCTACCTGTCACAAAGATCTCATCTATTCTACAAAAATGTAGTGGTCAGTAACATGTCTTTCAAAAACAATTCCCCTCACGGCGTTCGCTCTACCGGAAATCTCTTTCTGCCTTGGAAAAGCGATTCGAAAAAGCGATTTCACCACCTCCAACATAATCGCTATTGAATTTGATGAAGTGAAAGGATTGAGAATTGTCAATCGAATCCTCTAAAGACATTTCATTCGTCTGTTCGTTTCCTGTTTTCGGGTGGGTTTAACCGGTTATTGTACTTCACTAGATCAATGGATACTGGTTTCTAAATGTTACTTTGGACTCCTATAATCTCCAATTGTTGCCTTTAAGCCTTTAATAGTATTGGTCTCCTCTAATTTCCAATTGTTGTTTTTAGTCTAAAAATGTATTAAACTTAAACTAAAGCCAATTTCGGACTAGGCTTTACTAGCTTTACTAAGCAGGCTTTTGTAGCCAGATCTAGACTAGCCAGATCTATAAAAGTATCTGGATCTAGATCCTGGTATGCTCTGAACTAATCAAACTAGATCCTAGCTAGAAGGTAGGACATCCTGGTCTAGACATCCTGGTCTAGACATCCTGGTCTAGACATCCTGGTCTAGACATCCTGGTCTAGACATCCTGGTCTAGACATCCTGGTCTAGACATCCTGGTCTAGACATCCTGGTCTAGACATCCTGGTCTAGACATCCTGGTCTAGACATCCTGGTCTAGACATCCTGGTCTAGACATCCTGGTCTAGACATCCTGGTCTAGACATCCTGGTCTAGACATCCTGGTCTAGACATCCTGGTCTAGACATCCTGGTCTAGACATCCTGGTCTAGACATCCTGGTCTAGACATCCTGGAGACAACTTCATAATATTTATGGCAACTTTGGACTTTCTCTTTTTCTGCTGAGCTTGATTGGGACACCATGAGATGAACTAAAAGAAAATGCTTTAGATTTAAAGATTTTTCAGAACCGGAAAAAGTTATAGCCGACTATGGCTGATCGAAAGACCAAATTCACACTTTATTTTCATCCATCAACAAGTGAAAGCTTTTGGCGATTCAAAAACTTGTCAACCAAATCTCCCATCTCATCGAAAATATCCTCCATTTCCCTCACTTTTTGTGCCCTTTCAGGGGATCAGTGGTAACCTGTTCTCTCTCTGAAATGACCATCGCTTTTCACTTTTGATCTCTTCTCAATGATGCCGTCGAGTTTTTTTACGATAATCTAACAACTTTATAATATTTATGGTAACTTTAGACTTTCTCTTTCTGCTAAACTATAGGTTCAAGAGTGTTTCAAATGAATTGTGGCAGCTACTAGCTATACTATACTAGCTAACTACAGTCAAGTATTAAATTTCTTGATATTGTGTGATTGCCCAAACCAATAAACCTAAACAATTCACCAAACAACACTATTGACTTACATAGTTCAAGTCTGAGTCTGTATTTTATTCTAAAACGAGATCCTGAGTTCATTCATCAAAAACCCAATTTGTCTTTGAAAGGAATATACCATATTTTCTGTAATAGTAGTGCGCACTACTATTTTTTCAACCCCCCTCCAGCCTGCACTACTATTACAGACTAATTTTCAAACCCCCTCCAGCCTGCACTACTATTACAGAAAATACGGTAACCAAATGGTCTAACACTTATGATTTGTTTGAGCTTTTGCTTTTGAAAATCTGGTTTATTCATTTCGGTTTTACTGTACTGGCTCTACTTGGTCTGAGAATTGAATCCTAAATTATGCACGTCCAATTTTGTTATGTTTAGACTAGTCTAGTCTACTTTTTTCTCAAATCGAAAAGCATTTTTGGGCGTTAACCAATCAAAAACCGTGTTTCAATGTTTACTTATTGATGGTTGACTGCACAAAACAAGCTGGATTCTAGCTGATCTCTGAAATATTTGCATCTTTGTCAGCTTTTTGATCTATGTTACTTTAAGAATTGTATCTGATCTCTAAAATATTTGATATTTAACCTATTTGATTCAATCTTTGAATCACTCTACTTTTCACTTCAGTAATTACCTTCAGTTTTTTTTGTTCTTAAATGCTTCCAACCTTTCCAAACCTTGGATTTATATTTATGTAAAGAATTTTAGCTTTCACAATTCACTATAGCAACAAAAGCCATTCAATTCATTCAAATTTCGACAAAACGGAGAACGGAGAACAGAATGGAGAGGATTTCGAGAAGAGAATCACTTTTCTGAATGCATGCAAAACGATGTGGATCTTACTGCTTTGTAAGTTTTCTTTCACGAATTCTCATTCAATATCTTTAGTTTTATTGATTCCAATATCAGCTGAAGATCTTCATGATAATATTCTAAGAGATCCAAACTCGGAGAGAAAAGTTTTCGAGGTGAATCAAAAGGATTTGCCCAATCTTTGGTATGCGGGAAGTGTTAAAGCATTGCTCAAGGTGAGTCTGGTTTAGGTTCTGATTTAGGTTCTGATTTAGGTTCTGATTTAGGTTCTATTCAGCTAATTGCTGTGGTTCTTTAGCTCTACTTTTTGCTCAAAAATGAAAACACATCCATTCTAGTGTGCTCAATTCTGTTTTTCTTGACATATCAAAGCATTAAATTGAAGAAAAGTTCATCAGAAAAGAGATGAAAAGAGATTTTTCATTTTTGAATCAAAGTAGAGAATTTACAGACAGTTTTATTTCAATAATATTGAGTTTTTTTAGGCTAAAGCCAGAAATGTTTACGAAACTCTGCCGGTAATCGAGAAGATCGTTTATGAAGAGTGCAGTCGAAGCGCTAAGGTGAGATTTAAGAACTTTAGAGAAATAAGATGTAGAAGAAGTTGATCTCCCGACTAAGATACGAGGCTTTTAACCAGTCGACCATAGCCTTTGATCTGAAGAAATCAAATATTTCCTTAAAAGCAATCACGTTTAAATTCATTAATCTTTTTTTTTATTTTCAGCAACTCGGTGGCCTAGCCGTTTGTGTGGTTCGTTTGCTGAATGAGAGAGATCGACGAAAAAAACACCTAGCATCAATCGTTTGTTATTATATTATATTAGCTTTAATATCTTGCTTTAATAGCTTTAATAGCTTGCAATCTTGCAAAGAAAGCATTCATTTTATATTACTTATCTTTAGCCGATCCAGCCAGCTTTTATGACAAAGACTGCAAATTCCACTGATTCATTCACGATCAAAATGTTTCGAAAAACTGAATCAAGACCGAGAATCGCTTCGAAAAGCTATGAACATCGTTTATCTTATGAAGAATGGAAAAAGAAATTGATTCGACCACAAAGGAAAACCTATGAAAATAATAAGAAGAAGGGGAGAAGGAAAAGGCCGAAAATGGAGAAAACGATGGAGGAAGAGTTGGAGAGATTTTTGGAGATTACAGAGGAATCGAGGTGAGTTTAATTTTATAGAAATTAAGTCTTATATGTAAAGTTAATAATTAAACATTTGTTTAAACTTATAGAGCTTACGAGACGAACGAGAGCGAAGAAACGAACTGGCGGCGGCAGAAAAGAGAAATGAAATTGAGCATGGAGGATCCGAAATGTAACTTTTATGAGTTTTATGATTTTAGAATTACTCTTTTAGAATTACTAGTAACCTTAAAATGATAAAAGAAGCTAGCTTTTCTTGAAAAATCCACGAATTTTTTCTTTTTAGTGAAGCTCGCCGTGCAACGCGTTCTTCAAAAGATTCCCGGCCTCTCCGCGACTTATTTCAAGGCTTTTTTGTGTGAGTTTTTAAATTTAAGTAAACTTAATTACCGTAATCTTTAATTATAATAATTTAGTGGATGAAGGGAATGAGTTTTCATCGAAAAATCTCGCAAATCTACGCAAAATCCATGATCATTTTCGCAAAGTCGATGTCTGCAACGATTACCTGAAGACGGTGAACACTGAGAATCAAAAGTGTGTTAAAAAAATTGCTGATCTTTCCATATAGCAAATAATTAATTTTCTTTTGTAAAATCTATCAACTTATAGATTACTTGATCAATTCGATTTGAAAAGTCGCACTCCATCTCTGAGCAAAAACGATGCCGCCCTCAACAATGTCATCAACATGATCAACACTTTCATGGTAAAAAGAAATAAATTTCTTTTTGGATTTAAGAATTCAGGGATCACCAGCAAGTGACGATAAATTCTCGCTACTGTCCCCGAAATTGTTATCGATTCTACCGGAGAGTAAATCGCACAAAGATCGTCCTCATCTCCTTTCTCCAACAGTCTTCAGCTTTCACAATGATGGATTCTTCACGATGAATGATATGTTGAAGGTGAGAGCTTTGTAAAGTCTTGAGCTAGCTTTAAACTGAACCTTACTGGACGAATTTGGATTAGGTCTGACTTTGGCCTTGTTTACATAGGCTTACAAAACTAATCTTGAAATCTGATCTGCTTCTGATCAGATTTCTTCTGATTTCTAGATCAATCTAAGCTAAAGACAGATCAATTCTTGGCCTTTGGCTTTGACTAGTTATAACTTTCAAAACAACTGAGCAATTCGTTGGTTAGATCTTGAAAATAAGTTAACTTTAAAAACTTTAGACGACAACTGGAACCGACAAGTCCAATCAGATCATTCTCGATGCCGTTTTAGAAGCAAGTGGTGCGTCGGATGTTCTGAATAAAGTGCTCGAGGGTATGAAGGAAGAGATACGGTGAGTGTTGTATAAAATACTTTCTAAAGAAATTCTAAGTCTAACACTTTTAGAGAAATGGATGAGGTGAAATTCCCGCTAGTTCGCGATATGTCGAGACTCGATTTGGGACATTTGCGAGCACACCGAACACTCAAATCAAATCAGAGACAAGAATTCGACACAAAAGGATACACTTTCCTGGAAAAGGAGCAATTCGAGCATATTTATGGATCGGGATCGAACTGTTTGTTTATCGGATTTGGAGTTTTTAGCTTTGCTCAAGTTCTCAAAGCTTTCAATTAGATCTTAAATTAGATCTTAGATCTTAAACTGGTTTTGAATCAAATTAATACGAAACTCTTTAATCTTAAACACTTTTAAGTTCAATGTTTCAGGTAAATGACTTTCTTTTTGCTCGAAAAGAAATCTTATCTTATCTTTTAGTGCTTCGTAAACCTCGCACCAACATCACAGCCTTTCTTGCCATGAGCAAAGATGAAAAAGAAAATCTCCTTGAAAAGGAAATTCGCCAAATGGCACTCATTTATAAGGAACAAGCCGGTTAGTGTGACAAGTGGGGGTATAGCTCAGTGGTAGAGCGCTCGCTTAGCATGCGAGAGGTCTGGGGTTCAATTCCCCATACCTCCATAACTTTTTGGGATTTTAGGAAAATCGAGAATGAAGAGGCAAGCCGGGCACGAGACGGGTTTGTTTTTTGTGGAATTTTAAAGGGTTTTGAGTTTAGAAACGGATACAACTACTCCTCACGGAACTGTAGATCCAGATCATGGGACAACGAATGGAACTGAAGGTAAAGGATTGTGCAAACCAAAGCTCATTGTTTAACGAAATATTCAGGTCATGAATCTCATCACGAGCAGCACGAGGAGCACGAAGGCGTCGAATTTATCACCCTTTCACCAACCGCTTTCTCGAATTTCATCAATCACGGTGTTGCGCTAGAAGTGGTGACGTTATCGCCGAGGTTTTGGGTTGCTGAGATCTTGGCTCCAGAAGCTCTCATTGTAAATTGAATCATACTAAATCTGATTCAAAAAATATTCCTTTAGCTTCAAACCTTGTCACCCAGAGCCTTCATTGGGACTGTACTCTCACCAAATGCTCTCATTGCTCGCACACTGAGTCCGACAGCGTTTCGCGCTGAGGTAATGAAAGTTTGAGCATTGAACATTGAACTTATAATTCTTGAACCAAGCATCATACCATATCTTCCCAGGTACTCGCTCCAAGAGCTCTCACCACATGGATCCTCTCTCCAGAAGCTTTCGTTGTTGAAGTTCTCTCTCCTCGTTTTCTTGAACCTCGAGTGCTCAGTCCAGAAGCAATGGTGATTGATATTTTGAGTCCCGGGATCCTTTCACCTCACTATTTGTAAGTGAAGCTGAAAATTCGACAAATCAACAACTTCAGGAGTGACGAAGTAGTTGGAGTGATGGTCTTATCGCCGAATATTCTTTCGCCTAGGATTGAGAGTAAAGAGAAGATGCTAGTTGAGGTATATAAAGAAATTTGGTGAAAATCGTGGAATTCTTTAGATTTTGTCTCCTCACATTCTTGGTGGGCCACATAGCAAAGAGGAGAAAGAACATGATGTGGTTTCGGATCATGCTGAGAAATCGGCTGATAAGGAGGTAAGGTTGATGAGGTTGTGAGTTTTCGAGAAAGCTGATGATGTTTGTCTAAATCAAAACTCATGACTGACTTGCTTCTAAAAGATGGTCTAGATAAAAGCTTCCGTGATAGATCTGTTTTTAAAGTTTCAAGGTGAGCCTACTGCTTGATGAAGTTTATCTGTCCATAGCTCTAGGAGTAAATTTGATCAATTTGATCAATCTATCCATCAAAGACAGGGATTACGATGGTTTTGGGGATCTTTTAGAATGACAGATTGATTTTAAGACTTTATGATCAACTTTACCCCAGATTAGACTATTAAATGGCTTCTCAAATCCTTACAGATTGATTTTAAAACCTTTAAAATCAACTCTTTTAGAATAGACTACTGAATAGCTCCTCAAATTCTTACAGATTGATTTTAAACTCCATTTCAGAATCCATTTCAGAATCCTTTCCATGAGTTAGAACTTCATGGTGAACACGGAGAGATCTCACATCCAAATGAGCACGAGGGAACTCATGCTCCACATGTTCTCGGTGTTCCCCAATCTCCTGTTGAATTTCAATCTTTCCTCTCATCATTCACCCCAATTTCACCAATTATACCCATGGGCTTTCCGCAACAACAAGTACAAAGTAATCAAATAATTGGTTAAGTAAAAGTAGCTAGTTTATTTGTCCAACCAAATTAAGAATAAGGGAACTACAAGTTGAACCTTGTTAAGCTTAAATTTTTACTAATGCAAAAGAAATTTGATACTATCCTGTCACCTACACATTCACTATCAACTTTGTTTTTCTAAACTCTAAATAAATCAAAACTTAACCTTATTTAGGCTAGAATTAAGCAATATTTAGGCTTGTAAAACCCTTGAATAGCCTAGATAAAATCGTTATTTTTAATGCTATTTGTGGTGATGACAGAATTGTATCAGAAATTTTTAAAAAACGGTCTTTTCAACGAAATTTTTATCGTTTTTTGTGAGTTTTTTTCCTTTTAGTACAAGCTTTAACGAGATTTTTGTGCTTTTCAGTTTTAAATTTCACTTTGATACTTAATATTTACTGTTCTTCTTTCACTTTTCAGTCTTTCAGTCAGTCTATTTTCTCATTTTACTGCTTTTTTGTATTGTCAGAGCCAATTGTTAGCTAAATTTTCTATATTAATGTTTTAATCTTTTGTTTTTAATGTTAGCTGAATACTTTTTCTTTCATGAGCTCATTTTCTCCATGATTTTTCTTCTACGGGCTTTTTTCTCCTATTCTTTCCATGACGTCACTCTGTTCAACACGGGCTTAAGAAAAAAACTATAATAAAGAAATTTTGAAGATTTATTCAGTTACAAACAAAGGAATCAGAATTTCAAATTTCGATGTGATGCTATACAGTATTTACGCTAAGTTAGTAAAGAAGTCTTTACACATTTCTTTTTATACTTTTGTTTTAAAAAAAAAATCGATCGTTTCCTTTAAATTAAAGTTTTTTTTGATCAAAATTTCTCCACTTTTTAATCAATTTCAATTGATTTTTAAGCAAATTCAAAGAAATCTTTCTATTGTTTCTTGATTTTTACAAATTTTTATCCAATTTTCGCGTCACAAGAGATCATTTGAAAAGTTTTATCATCCACCTTTTATCATCCACGACAACGCGCACCCTCATGTTGCAAAACTGAATCGCTCTAAAATAAACAGTCTTGGTTGGGAACTTTTGGCGCATCCCGCATACAGTCCGGACCTCGCCCCTTCTGATTACTATTTATTCCGGATCATGAGTAATGAGCTTGCGGGAGAACACTTCGATTCGGAAGAAGCAGTCAAAAATTGGCTTTGAAAGTTTTTCGATTCAAAAGCAAAGTCCTGCACCAAAGAGGGCAGAAGTCGTCAATAATAATGGTAATTATTTCGAATGAATTCATGGTTTTATTTTCAATAAATTTTAGTTCAAAGTCCGGCAGTTTTCGATTCACCAACCTAATAATTTGAAATGATAAAAAACCTTAACAAGAAACAAATTTAGTAGAAAACTTAGGCTATAAATACTTTGTATACTATAAATACTATACTACCATTCTACTATACTACCATTCTGCAACATACCATTCTGCCTCCCTCCATACTGTGAAACAGTATCAGTTTCACGAACATCAGCTGTATCCCTTACGGGAGACTGTGGAATCCCATGTTCAGAATATCCTTTCGATCTGGTGCTTGAGGCTATTCGTTATAATCGTTATAATCCTTTTAATCGATCTATTCTTTCAGATGTTAAGTGATAAGCATGAGATTGTTTTCATTTAATGAATCGAAACGTTTTGATTCATGTCAGGCAGTAGGTTTAAGATGTGTTCACCCTGAGAGATTAATGCTATAATACTGTAGATAATTACTATAATATATTCTATAAATACTATACTGTATCCTGTAGTTGACAGCTATTACCGTAAATATTGTAAGAGTACCTCACCGCCTTCGTACAGTCGCGTAGTCGCAAAAGTTTTTTAGTATTTCGTTTTTTTCAAAGCGCCCGTACTTTCAAAAAATGCATCTTTGGTATCAAAAAATAGCTGAAATTCAGGGCTATTTTTTGATACATAAACGCGCATTGTAGCATAAACCAGTGTCGAGAAAAACGCGTCCAAAGCTAGACTACGCAACACTCCGCACCGTCATTATGGGGGTCGGGTACTATTACAGTATTTACGGTAAGTTAGTAAAGAAGTCTTTACACATTTCTTTTCATACTTTTGTTTAAAAAAAAATCGATCGTTTCCTTTAAATTAAAGTTTTTTTTTGGTCAAAATTTCCCCACTTTTTAATCAATTTCAATTGATTTTTAAGCAAATTCAAAGAAATCTTTCTATTGTTTCTTGATTTTTACAAATTTTTATCCAATTTTCACGTCACAAGAGATCATTTGAAAAGTTTTAATATCAAAAAAAGAAAAAATGAAAGAAATTTCGGCGACGCTTGTGGAAAAAAAAGAAAAACTTTTAGAAAATCGAGGTATTGGAACTTCAGACGAGAATTTAATTTTAAAAAAATTGAAAAATCCCAATTCTAAAACTCGATAAACCGCATAAAGTAGCAAGAAATGATTGAAAAATTTAGAAAACTAGAAAAAGAAAACTATTTTGCTTTGTAGGCAGCCATTTCCTTCTCGTAACGCTTGCGATCCTCAGCGGCTAGCTTCTCCCATTTCTTAAATTCAAAAAATAAACTCAATTTTGAACAGTACAAAGTGTTCTATAAGTTTAAGATTATTTACAAGATCTATTGTAGAGTTGCTTAAGGTTTTAGGATTCAGTTAGGCTTTAGAAATTGTTGAAACTCATTTATAGCATTGTTATTTCTCTTTTCAGCGCTATAACTGTAGGAGTTGGCTCTAAAGTTAGTTCTAAAGTTAGTTTCAAAGTCATAACATCTATATTTCTTTGTTTTTCATAATTTCTTTAGTCACAAATCATGAAAATCCTTATCCTTAATCGCAAAGAATGAGATATTTTAAACTAAAGGCTTTAAATTAAGTAAATTCAAGTATTTTAGCGTCAATAGCATCTTGAGGAGAATATTTTCGACTTCAACTAACTCTTATTTTCTAATAATTTTACAAAACAAGTCTTCTAGCATTTTTAGCCTATCAAAAAGAGAAGAAAGTTGTGAGAAAACTAAAGAAAAAACTCAAGAAAATCCCACTGATTTACTAATCATAAATCTTAAAAGTTCATAGACTTAGAGCTTCGAAATCTATTCAAAGTTACTCAATGTTACTCAGTCGGAAACCTTCGACTTAACGTCTACCCTTGCCTTTCTGAAAATGAATCAATTATTAGGTTGGCAAAAAAGAAATGAGCGTCGTGTTTGTTGATTTGTATTTTATCCACAGTAAAGGATTTTTTAAAATAGTTTATTCTATTGGAAAGAGCGTGTTCTTGCGCATCGTTTGATATATAATTTTTCTATGTTTACTTTGTTGTTTACAAGAAAGAGTGTTTAGAAAATGTCGGACCAAAAATTTCGCTTGCGGGCCTGCTTGTGGTATGAATTTAAGCAAGGCAAATCGGCTGCTGAAGCTCATCGCGCTCTATCTCAAGTGTTTGACGAAGATGCTCTATCTGAAAGTCAGTGTAAACGATGGTTCCAGCGCTTCCGAGACGGCGACGAAAGCTTGGAAGACCAAAAACACGGGAGTCGACCTCAAATCATCGACAACGACGCATTGAAGGAAGCCATTGAGTCGGATCCACGCCAAACCACTCGCGACCTGGCAGAACAGTTCGGCTGCACTCATGCCACCATTGAGAACCATCTGCATGGGATGGGCAAGACGAATAGATGCGGAAAATGGGTACCGCATAAGCTATCCGACGCAAACAAGGCGACACGCATCGCAATTGCCGGAATTCTCACTCACCGCGCCAAGAACAGTGGGTTTTTCGACTCCATTGTTACGTCGGATGAGAAGTGGATCCAATACGACAACACAGCAAGAAAGCGGCAGTGGTTGGACCCCGGTGAAGCTCCAAAACCGACTCCAAAACCGGACATCCACGGAAAAAAGGTGATGCTTTGTGTTTGGTGGAACAGTAAAGGCCTGGTGTACTTTGATGTTCTGGATTCGGGTCAAACAGTTACGGCGAACCTCTACCAAGGCCAATTGGACCGCGTGGACCAGGCGCTGCGACGTCAAGGTGTGGATACGGCGTCGACAAAATTCCTTCACGACAACGTTCGGCCGCATGTCGCAAAAATCACCCAGCGGAAAATTGAAGAAATGGGATGGGAAGTCCTGCCTCATCCGCCATACAGCCCAGACTTGGCGCCTTCCGACTACCATCTGTTCCGATCAATGCACCACTCCTTGGCCGAGAAAAAGTTCAAGAACGGCGACGAGGTCCAAATTTGGGTGTCCAACTTCTTCGAGTCGCAGCCGGTCGAGTTCTTCAAGAAGGGCATCCATTCTCTGCGTGAACGTTGGCGACAAGTCATTGATGCAGATGGCGAATACCTTTTGGATTAATGTATTGTTATCTTGTTTTTATAATAAAATAAACTTTTAACGAAAACGCGCATTTCTTTTTTGCCAACCTAATAGATATGAAAGATCGATTAATATAAAAGTTATTGTATTGATATGAAGCATATTTGAGTTCTGAAATTAATTTTCTCTTGAAATATTGCTCTATATTTCCCCTTGCCCCTTGCTTTTCTGAAAATAAATTAGAAATCTATTCAAATCTGAAAGCTTTGAAATCTGTTCAAATTTCCTCACCGATTTGTCGGTGATTTTCCCCCAGTCAACTCCAGCAATTTTCCCGATTTGTCCAACCGACACTCCGGGATTCTCCTTCTTTATACGCTCTCGATTCTCGTTCAACCAATGGAAGAAAGCCGATTGGCCACGTTTTGGCATGTTTGGATCCTGGTATTAACGTTTTGTTTGAAATTCCCTGTTTTGAAATTTATTTTTTCATCCATTTCATCAATAGTACAAATGTACAAAACAACAACTTTGTAATCCTTTTTTTGAAATAAACAAAAGCTGATTTAAGCTAATAGTAATCTTAATAGTAAGATAAATATTTGACTTTTAAAACTTTTCCTTTAATCCTTTACCTTTTTAACCTTCTTGATCGTCGCTGGTTCTCCATCA